CCACGGCATTTTTAAAAAGTCCCGATTTTTGAAAAGACTGCACGACAAGCTAGGGTATACGGTTTTCGGCTGCCACGGGGCTATTTCGCCAGGATGAGTTTTATCAATGGTGTCCCACTTTATCAATGTTAAAATCTGGTCACCTTAAATAGTATTGTAACCGATGTTAATTTCTTGGGATTGATGATTGAACTGGGGCTGTGTAAACTGTTAGCATTAGGAGAAACATGAACTCTCTGTACTATTTTTACAATTTTTCTTTCAATGGAAAATCATTTCACTTTTGAAACTATTGCCCTGCAGTAATACCATAATGTTAAACCGAAAATATCTCCTCCAGTCTTCTTAAAACCAAACAATCGTTTTGTTGCCTGGTACGAAATATCTGCCTTGAGCATTACGCTCTCTTAAGAGCCATCCAAATGGGATCACTGTGACAACAGCAACTGGAGAGATTAGATAGGAACCTCAGGCGTGGGGGAGGGGTAAGAGGCGCAGGAGGGGTGGGCAGTGAGTTTATGCTAATGAGGAGAAAGGGCTTGGAAGAGGACAGCAAGAATTGTTATTCAAACTGAAGACTGTAATCAATGCCACTAAAAAAAATGTGTAGACACAGTTGAATTGGCCTATGTTTTGATGTGTATCTTCTCAACAACAAAATGAAAAATTATAGAAAAAACATTTCAAAATGGGCTTACAAAAATAACTGCACGGGATAAATCAAATGGATTGCAGCAATATTTTCTGAGGAAGAAACTAGCTCACCTGAGGACACACATAAACTCAAGACAAAACAAAAACGCTGCCATCAAGTCAGTTCTGATTCTAGTGTTTCCAAGGCTGTAACACGAGCAGATCACCTATCGTTCTCCCGGAGAGCAACGGCTGGGTTTGAACCACCAAACCTGGAGTTAGCAGTCCAACTACCCAACGGCGCTGTCAGTACTCCTCAGATACACATAGACCAAGCAAGTCCCAACTCACATCGTGGATTCTGCCGCCTGGCACCTGTGATAGACATTGCTACAGCAGTCATGCCATCCTTGGGTTCCTGGATGGCCCTGTCTTCCCTTTGGAGGAATTGGTTCAAGTGGGCTTCTCTGTCCTAGTAGGGGTTCCCCCGGCACCAATCCCCATTCTTAGGGTAAACAGTGCTCAATCAAGTGGGAGATCAAACTGTGGAGGGCAACAAGTCTTGGGTTTGGCTCCTGGTGCAAGTGTACTGGCATAGACTCCTCCTACTGGCAGTCTGGAGCGCTGCTCATTGGACAGCCTGATGCTATCACTGCGAGCGCTTTATACTCCAGGGGGATGATTGGCAATGTCTCACTTTTTTGTTTCTAGGGGCTTTTGTGTTCCTGCCTATTTTTGTTTGTTGGTATAGTTAGTCTTATGGGGGTTTGGTTTTGCAAAATAGACCACCAAAGTAAACCTGAGCCACGCATGTCCCATGGACAAGCAGCTGGATTCTTGGCTCCCAATGAACTCTCCCCCATCCAAGAACAGTTCGTTCTGAGAACACGGTCCTGCTCCATACTCACTTCCATGAAAGGATCACTGAAGGTAAGGGTGCTACAGCCAAGTGTGGGGAAGAAAGCAGATCATGCCCGGTTCTCAATCTGGGGTCTTAAAGGCTTGTAGTCAAACAAGCAGCCATCTAAGTGAGGAGGCAGCTCAGTCCACCTGGAAGAATCACACTAGCTTGTGTGAGCCAATGACAATAACAAAACCTACATATGATGAAGGGAAAAGTATCAGAGCTACAATTGTGAACACCCAATTTGTAGAAGGCTATGGAGGACAGTGGGAACCCAAAATCCATCTGCAGAGCATCTGGTCAGATTAAGTCTCTGGCAGATCCCCTCTAGCCACAGTTAGGACTCAAACAGCTTCGTTGTCAGATGGAGATCATTGTAATCTTGATTTTACTGGATCGAACTGGATACTTGGTCAGCTGACCTCCCTCTTGACCCAACCTGAATTTGTTCTAGGTGCAAGTATTTCTTGCTTGTTGCATGACAAAAATTTCTTCCATCGCTTTTAAAATATTGATGGTGTTATTTTCTTTCTTACTCAGTATTTGTATTTTTATCTTTATATCATTATTTTATCCTTACTCCTTTGTTTTGGTTTTTATTGTTTCTGTTGGGTTTTCCATTTTGTAAAGCACAGAAGGAGTAGATGCAATAGAGATATTAACTGATGCAAGGGTTCATAGGAGAGGTGGGATGGGGAGTGGGAGGTCGGGAGGGTGAGGGAATTTGGGGAACAATGTATGTAGGAGTGGGGAGAAAGCACTTGATCTGGTTGTGATTACACAACTCATTTTAAAAGTGATTTAACCATGAAAAAAAGAAAGAAAAGAAAATGTTCTAAAATTGATTGTGGTAATGATTGTTCAATCTTTCTTGATTTGATTGAACTATTGGATTGTATGATATGTGGATGATGTGCCAATACAATTGTCTTTTCATAGGACATCCCCTCACAGAAGGGTCACAAGGAAGGGCTGAGTCAGCCAGGGTGTAGGATAGCACTAAGGGAACACACCACAGTCCTCTGGTTCTTTAATGCTTCCTCGGATCTCACAGTCACTTCCCCAGCCCACAGCCAGTCTGTTACCAAGGTGACTTCCACAGCCTCCTCACTAGTCTTTCTTCACCCAGCAGCTGGAAAGAGCACTTCCTAAAAACACAAATCTGGCTGTGTTGCCTCATGCTCACACGCTCACGGTGCCTTCACTGTCCGCAGAATAAAGTCCCACAGAGCTCATGACTCACCACCCTGCAGGCCTATGGAGACCCTCGGAGGTGCAGGTGCGCTTGGCTGAGCACTCAACTACTAGGGAGAAGGTTGGAAGGTCCAACCAACCTGGAGGTGCTCCGAAGAAAAGCCTGGCAGGCTGCTTCAGAGAGATCACAGCCTTGAGAGCCAGATGGGTTTGGGAGGGGATACATGGTGGAGGTTGTTGGATGCAAACCTGATGATTTGTTATCTATAATCCCCACCTAGTTCACAATAAGCGTTCAACACAAAGCAAAAACCCTATGGGACGCAGTTTGCCATGAGTCAGAATTAACTCAACATTAAGGTTGTTGGGGGTTTTGTTTTGTTTTGTTTTTATGGGGGTTGGGGTGGGAGAAAAATAGGCCCTTCTAGCCTCACTGTCATGCCCTGAGCACCAGCCACCATGATTTACATAACTACCAGTCTCTAGAATCTGCCACATTCTTTGTCTATATAAATTCTACTTATAATCCAGATTCAGTTCAAGTATACTTCTTTATTTGGTTATCTCCTACACACACACACACACACACACACACATTGTTGCCATTAGCAGCTCAGGGCTTAACCCATTATGCCCACCAGGCTCCTCAAGGAAGGATTCTCACTCTGCCACCAACGCAATGCTCACACATAGTGACCCTATAGGGCTGGGTAAAACTGCCCCTCTGAGTTTCTCAAGTCTGTTACTCTTTATAGGTATAGAAAGCCTCATCTTTCTCCCTAGGAGTAGCTGGTGGATTTGAACTGCTGACCTCGTGGTAACCACTACTCTACCAGGGCTCCTCAAAGGAAGGACTAGACACAAGTAAATCGTGCCTGTCTGACAAGTCGTAAGAAACCAGTCCTAACACGCCTTCCTCAGGAGAAGAGTGTGTCCTCACGTTGACCGGATATGAAGCCACTGACAGAGGACTAAGTGTGTGCGCATACCTGCTATCAAACCAGGTAGGACCCTACCCCCCACTGTGCATAGGTGCCCACCACCCAGAACGGTTGCTGGGAGTGTCCGGGCCAGCCTTCGGTCTTCTCTGGCTCACTCCACCTGGCCAGTATCACGAGGCTCTCTGCTCCCCTTGGAGAACTTAGGGACCTAGGACAGGGCTGCAGGCCTCCCCACAAGCATTTGGCAGTGAGTGCAGTAGACCCCCTCCATTCCTGCCTGCCTGCCTGCCTGCCTGCCTGCCTGCGTGCAATAGTCCGTGGCCAGTGAGCAGGCTAGACCTTCCCCAGCCCAGGCCAGCAGCTGGGCTCAGCAGCAACCCCCTCAGCCCACCCCCACCAGTGGCAGAAGCAGGTCTCAAGATGCAGACCTGGGCAGCCTGGCCCAGGGCTAAACATTAGTAGGAGGGTGTGGACCTCACAGTATCACTGCCAGAAAGGGTGACACCAACATGAATGCCTATAGAAGTTTTATGCAGTGTTGCACCACTTTTTAGGTACAGCTACAAAATTATTTTTCGTAAGCCCAGTTTACCTGTATCAATATAGTACCTACCAGGCTCAAAGGATGCTAGTTCACTCTTTGAACCTTTTAATGCACACTAGCCTGAGCTGTCATTATTACCCAATCACAATGGGCTTAGAATCACGTGGTTGGGTCTGCGTGCTCTACAGGTAAGTGCGGGCGTTCTGTTCCAGCCAGTGTTTTCATCAGTGCTGGTTTTGTCAAATTTCCTGGCGTTTTGGTTACAAAATTGCAGCAATTAGTCTCTGCGAACCTCTAGCAATAACCCTTTGAAGACCGAAGTCAATAGAGGAAAAGAAGGAGGAAAAAAAATTGTAAAGGCTCAGCTCAGGTACTCAGAGGGTTGTACCCAATACTGTCGAACGATTTTCCCGAAACAATTTTGTATATTCTCTGTTCTTTGATGATTAAAATAGGTAATAAACATTCCCAGGGATTCCGAATCGTCAGGTAGGAGACATCCACGGGGAGGGGCGGGGAGTGATACCACTGGCGGGGCCTCTACAGAGCAGCAGCATGTAGATTCTTGGGAAACAAGCTCACTCGTTGTGAAACTTGGAAAGGAAAAGACCGTTGGTGACAACACTCCCCTCCCTAACCTCTCTATACCGTGCAGGAACGATCCCGGAATGAACCTCACGTGGGCACTGGCCGGGCTTGCGGAGAGGGGGTGGGGGTAGGGAACCGGGACGCAGGCACTGCCAGGGGCTCTTCAGCCCGGGCTCGGGGTGAGGGTGGCACCCACCTCGGTGACGATGGTGGACAGGTAGACGTCCTGGCTGAACTCCCAGCCGTCCAGGCAGCTCTCCTGCTCCAGCTCCGTCAGGTTCACGTCGCGCCCCGGCAGCAGCCCGAGCGCCGAGAAGTTGGCGAGCGCGGCCAGCTTGTAGCGGCGGCAGCTGTGCGGCACCTCGCGGCCGTCCTGCAGCCGCAGCGGGACACTGTGGTTGCGCCACGCGCCGCTCAGGTTGGCCGACTCCGGCACCCGGCACCGGTGCTGCGGCGTCCCCGCCAAGAACACGGCTGACATGCCGTTGAACCCGTTGGGGACGATGCTGGCGCTGAGCAGGAAGAAGACGAGGCGCTGGAAGGGCCCCCACTCGCCCAGGAAGGCGATCACCTCGTCGTAGTCACGCATGCTTCCCGCCGCCGCACCGAGGCTGACAATAAGGGCGGAGAGGACGGTCCCGGGCCGGTGTCAATCAGCACATTCCCGAGGGGCTGGCCGGCCGCACGTCTCCGGGGAGCGTTTCCGGGAAGCGGGCTGCGGACGTCGGAGCGTCCCCGGGCGCTCGGCACAGAGCTGGGAGCCACTGGAGACACTTGGGACCGCACCCCCGGCCCGGGCGGGCGGCGGAGGCGGGCCCCAGGGCCTGCGGGGGCGGGGCTCCGGGCTGGCTCCGCCTCCCGCCCGCTCCGGGAGAGCCGGCGGGGCTTCCCCGCCGCCTGTTCCGCCCGGAGGACCCCGGCTCCCGAGCCCCCTTCCCTCCCCGTGACACCCCGAGCGCTGGTTCTCGCGTGGCGGCGGTCGTGCTGAGCCCACGGGCGCGGGAGGGCGAAAGGGAGGAGCCGAGCCCCGAGAGCAAGGAGAGGTCTGCCCTCCGCCAGCCCACTGGCCTTTTTCCCCGCTGTCCCTTCCAATCCCGAGTCTAAGCTTGGGCAGGCGGCTTCCGGCGAGCCAGCCAAGTCCCGGGGTGGCCGAAGGGCGCCCCGCCTCGCTGCGCCGCGCAAGTGGCTGGCACCGGCCGAGCGGGCGCTGGCTCCCCACCCGCCTTAGGAGGTCTGCATCCAGTCACCAGCTGAGCCGCGCCGGGAGAAGCGTCCGCGAGACCGCTAGGAGCCTCACTTTGCAATAGGGGACAAACAAGGTCACACTGCGTGCGTGCGTCAGAGCTGAGCCCTGGGCCCGAGAGAGGTGGGAGGCAGGGGCGCCCTAACGGTTCCAGTCCTCTAGAGAAGCCGCGTGAGGGCCCGATCAAGAAGTCGTTTGGGTTGCCAGTCCTGAGTTATGACTTAGATCCCCTGGCCCTCACCCTGCCCCCATGTCAGCAGCACGCTGCCCATCCCTTCCAGGATTTACTGGCTACCTGTTTACAGAAGAGCCGACCCCTCCTTTTCGGCGTCATTTTGTGTAGCTTCCAGACTGACCCTTCTTTGTGCGCTGACTTTCTGCCTCCAGCGCGGGGTGGGGCTCAGTGACCTCATCTATATTAAGATCCTATGTACCAGTGAGCCACCACAGCCTTAGCTTATGCCGGATAACCCCGTAAAAGCTTGTCTAGCGCTTTTCTTTACACTCAGAAATGCTATGATAGATGAGGCCATTGTTCTTCTTACTTTACATTTCATGTCCCTGTCCCAAGTATATAAGCAAAGCCGGAGGCACTTATCTGGAAATCGTTTATTCTGAGTCGTGATCCAGGGACTAAAAATAAGGAACTGGGGAGAGAGAACAGGAAAAGAGGTGGCACACACATGTCCAATGGAGCTGGTCATTCATGGACACTGGCACACTCTTTATTGGACCCTATGGCAAAATCGGCAATCCTGGTCCGGGTCCTCATTTACAATGTGGATATTTCGTCCGTGGATTTGTTTTTCGGTGTTAATTTTGATTTTTTTATAAAAGATCATGCATTAGGATATTATTTTACCTTTATAACGGAATCTTTGACATCATTTTAAAGTTTGTCCCCAAGGCAAGTGCTTCGCTCATTTAACTTCACTCACCCTCATCGTTGTGGGTTACTGGGGTATGAGCCCACTAGAATCTTCTAAAGAAGTCTGTAGAACAGGGACTTCATTTCCCAGTTCTGTCTCCAACTTCTGTGCACTTCCAGGTTGTACAAGTGTGAGAGCCAAACTGGTGTCATTTACCATCGCCCAGGAAAGGACACAAATCAATAATGAGAGGCAATTCTATGCACAATAAATGACTTAGTACACTGCTTGCAGCTCTGCCCAATGGGACACTTTCTCCTCACTACTGTCCTTGGGGTAGAGCTCAGCTGCTACCCCAAAAGCCGAGGGTTCAAACTCACCAGGCACTCTATGGGGGAAAGATGTGGAGGCCTGCTTCTGAAACGATGTAAAGCCGTGGAAACTCCGTGGGTAGTTCCACGCTGTCGTGTAGTGTTGCTGTGACTTAGTATCCAACAGCAATGAGTTTGGGTTTTGTTTTTTGTCTTTTACTGCTCCCTCAAACATAACAATCATTTGGCTTACACATCAAGCTAACCTGACAGGCCTGAATACTTTTTTCCTCTATCAGAAGGTTATAGAGAACTATCCCCTGAGGCCATAGGTTTGAGTTGAGGCAGGAGTGTTGGCATGGCTGAAGTTTCTATCATAGGCAGCGGAGCCACCCATTCATTAACTTACATGAGTTCTATGAGCATGCTGAGTCCTGATTCTGGATGTACCATTTCTGTTACGTGCTGGATGCCTGATGGGCCTGCCTGACAACACCCAGCTCAAACTGGCACCTCTGGTTGCCTAGACCCTTGATGCCCCATTGCCAGGCACTCAAGCTTCTACTCAGTTGCTTTTCGAAAAGTAAATCTATCTCTCCTGCAGAAGGCCTGGCCTTCCTCCAGAACCCTACTGAAATTCTCCAATTAGAGCTTATCAAAAACTCTAGTCAGTATCTTTATTCACCACGAACACGTGAAAACCATGGAAGCTGCTGGGTTGTGTGGCCCAGATGGCAGGAAGCAGGGTTGTATTTGGACAGGCTGTTGAGTTCTCTCTTCCTTGAGGACTCATTAAATTCTGGGAGACTTCCAAGGCACCTAATAAATGAGTCAGAGGAGTTTGTCCCCAAGCAGTTGATGCCTTTTTTTTTCTTCCAGGGGTGAGGGTACAAAGTCATATAATAACTTGCCTTTATGTTAGAGGGGATGAGGTGGCATGCATCAGGGCTGCTAATAACTTTTCCAATTTGCCTCAAAACAATATTGGATAAAGGAAGTGAGAAGGGATGTAGATGAAGTAATGTTGACCATGTCTAATAATTCTAGTTCAATTCACTGTCTAGTTTTGTGTACATTTGTTGTGCCATAACTAGAAGTAGACGGTCAGAAAAAAGATGACCAACGTGGAAGGAATTCTCTCACATTTTATCTCTCATCCTCTGACACAGCTCTCTTACTGGGGCATCTAAAGAAGCTCTGGTGGCATAGTGAGTTATGAGTTAGGCAGTTAATGGAAAGGTCAGCAGTTTGAGACACCAGCCGCTCCATGGGAGAAAGATGGGGCTCTTTACTCCTGTAAAGAGTTACAGTCTTGGAAACTCCCAGGGGCAACAGTGAGTTCCACCTTGTCCTGTAGGGTCACTATGTGCATTGTCTTGTGATGGAAGTAAGTTTCAGGGCATTTACAATATTTGTCCATTCCTGCTTATTCTGTCAAATTAGCATAAGGTCATCAATACAGTGGACCATCAGTGGATATCAAAGCAATCAAATAACCAAAAGCTATATGGTGTCAGAGCACAGGAGAATTAATACAGCCTAAGGGATAAAAGAGTGACTATGAACTGTTGTTCTTCCCACATGAAAGCAAACATCCTGCTTACTAATGTTTGTTGAGGGGAAAAGGCATAATCTCTGCATCTTTTCCCAGGAGTAGTCTTAAATCTGATTTAATAGGTGATTCAGAAGGGTGGGGAGAGGTTCCTGGAACTTCCATTTGGCTCCTCCTGCTTGATTAATAGGATAAGAAGAGAATTTTAGGATCCTGCCAGCTGCTAAATGTAGCGATCTTGCTTTACATTTACAAAGCAGGGAAATATTACCATGTGGATAAGACCCATTGGAGCTGTTTGCATCAGAATGCCATTTATTGGACAAACACATCACCCACTCAAATTAATGCAGGCAACTATTGAAAAACTCAGTAGGATATATAGATTAGGCGCCAATAAAAATGTAAAACAAAACAAACCCCCTCAAAACCTCAACAGACCTATAACAAAAGAAGAAAGAGAGTAGGTCATTAAGAAACTACCAACTCTTAAGGATGGAGCAACGAACAGAGAGGGATGGGGCTGGCCCCCCCTGGAGACATGACCTTCTTTCACTGACCCGGTAGAGCACTGGAGACACTGCAGAAGTGTGCTGGTCTGCTCACGCACAGTGGGACAAAACTAGAAGGGAGTGCAACAGGGAAGCAAAGGAACCAAGTCCCCGAGAATTCTGAAAATAGACTTCTGACTTGGGGGACACAGCTTGGCACCTACTCAGACCCGATTAGAAAACACTCATAAGGGTCAGCAGACAGACCTTAACATCTATCATTTTTTCTTTTGTTTTACTCTATGTCGGTCTATATAAGATAAGCAGTACAATCCCAAGGAGAAAACAACAGGACCAGAGGTCCTGGGGGGGACATGGAAGAGGAGGGGGCGTGGAGCCAACAAACTCAGGAATAATGGAACAACAAGAGATCTAAAATTGTTGGCAAGGAGGACGTATAATGCCTGGTGGGTTTGATCAAGTGCAGTGTATTCAAGAGGAATCACTGAGAGCTGAGGTTGGCATGCTAGTGGGACAGGAGGAAGCTGAAGGAAACAGAGGAAAGAACTAGGAGGCAAAAGCTATTTATAGAGGTATAGCTATAGGCATGTATATATGTAAATATATTAATTTATAATGAAAGGGATAGAGGCCAATGTACATATGTTTATATGTTAAACATTAAGATAGCAGATGAACTTTGGGCCTCTACTCAAGGTCTTCTTAAACACAAGAACACTTTGTTCTAATAACCTGGCACTCTTTAATACTCACTTTCCTGACACGATCACTGAAGACAAAATAGGTGCATGAGTAAATATGGTGAAGAAAGCAGATGGTGCCCAGTTATCAAAAGTTATAGCATCTGGGGTCTTAAAGGCTTGAAGTTAAACAAGCAGTCATCTAGCAGGGAAGCAAATAATCCCACATGGATGAAGTGCACAGGCCTGTGTGATCATGAAGGATCAATGGGATCAGGGATCAAAAGACACAAGACAATTATATTGATGAGAAAGGGGAATTGGAGTGGAGACCCAAAGCCCATCTGTAAACAATTGGATACCCCACCCCCGGCCCCCGAAGACTTACAAGGAAGGGAAAATTCAACCAGGGTGCAGTATAGCACCAATGAAACACATATAATTCCCCTAGTTCCTGAATGCTTCCCCCCGCCCTCCGCCCCCACTACCATGACCCAGTTCTACCTTACAAAACTGGCTAGACCAGAGTG